CTCCTCAGGGTGCCGTCAGCCAGACAGTGTCGGCTGGCGACCCCCAGGGGGAGAGCCTTCTCTGTCGGAGCACCCACCCTCTGGAACGAGCTGCCCCCAGAGATCCGGGTGATCCCGGATCTCCCCTCCTTCCGCCGCGCCCTTAAGACCTGGTTATTTCAGCAGGCAGGACTGGCCTAGGGGTATTTTAAAGGGGTTTCAAATTAAATTTTTAGTAGAAGCGGCCAAATTTAAATAGTTATTTTTAATCTTTTTAAATTTTGTATTGTATTGTACCATTGTTTTAAACTGGCTGTAAGCCGCCCTGAGTCCTCCGGGAGAAGGGCGGGGTATAAATTTAATAAAATCAAATCAAAATCAAATCAAATCAACCAAAAGCATCTTGTATTCAAAATTCTTAAGATATTCTTATTTTCCTTTTCATACCGAGATATAATATTCTAATTATAAATCCTAACTATCTAGTTAAAATAATACTGCTATTTCTAACAATCTATTCTTAACCATATTCAAACCTCTAATTAATAATATGGCATCCCCTCTAATAGGTCAAAGCTTCTGTTTCCTTCAATCTTACTCTAGCATTCTTTCTTTGCCAACTAACTTTTCAAGTCAGTGCATTTGGATCATCAAATAATTCTTCCTCTATTTTTGTATATATTATTTGGAACAAGAGAAACAATTTGATTAAAGTATTTTTAGAAGAGCTAGCCCACTGATATTCATTAAACCACCTTCTCCAGTTGCCTACAGTTCTGTTAACGATTTTATCTTCCATTCCATCTGCTCTTTTTCCTTATTATCCAGTATGTTCTGAAACTTTGGTTCATAAAATGTCTTTTCTGTTTCCAGTATTATCGTTGTGTCCCCTGAGTTTTCATTTATCTGAGTCTGGTCATGCTGAGTATGGAACACCCATTTTATTTTATTTTTATTTTTGTATAAGTAGTCATTATAGATTTATACAACCAAATGTCTGTTCTTGAGTCTCCCCTAAGCAGATATAGGTAAAACTTTTCTGTCCAGTAAGAAATATATCCTTTCTGCCCAGGGAGAAAAAAGAACCACTGAAGGTTGTTCAACAACAAGATTTATAATCCAAAGTGTTCCATATGTTTCTTTTACAAGAAAATAATTCCACAATACAGTTCTGAAAGTCAGTATTTATGTTCAAAATTCAGACTTGCCAAATTTAGAATATTTAACATCTCTGCCACCCAGATAAGCAGCCCCCAAGCCTGTTCCTTTTTTCTCAGCTGAAATTCTCAGTAGTAAAAGCTTTCAAGGCCAGCCAAAGTCTTATGTAATTCTGGGATTCAAGCCAGTTTTTTTTAGGCATAAATAAGTTGTAGTGCCATAATTCACCACTAGATGTCATCAATGCCACTTTTCAGTTTTTAGATCCAGAACTTATATTGTAAACTTTTCAAGTCATTTTCTTTAAAAAAAAAAAAAGTCTTGAAAACACTTTTAGTCCCCAAATTTTCATGCTGTATGTATATATTAATTCCAAATAGGTCTTATGGGTTTCGCCATTTCCCCCAAGTAATTAATTTCTTTTCTGAAGGAATGGGGCAAAAATTCCCTTTCCCTCTTTCATTGGGGGGGAGAGTGCTTTGGGCAGATTTTCAGGAAGAGGTCTTAAAATCATAAAGAAAGGATCAGGTCTCACCCAGTTTCATCCACGTTGTTGTAAAGTTGCTTGGTAGTGCTTGTTGACTTCTGTTGTCAGTCACTTAGGACTGGCTACATGAATGCAGCCAGTCTTTCCTCCGCAGGTTTGGAGGGCTTCCTCAGATCAAATGGGAGATCTGCCCCCCCCATGATCAATGAGAGTCTCCTCCTTGCTTTCTGCCTCTATGGGGTGACTTTCAACTCTTTCGAGGATCCCTCAGCAGGGCGAAACAAAACCCAAAATACGGAGCCCCATCTTCCTATGCCTGCATCGCCGTGACGTCAAACCAGAAGTCATTATTTTCTAATGAAGAGAAATGATTAATCAACACTTCAATGTCTGCCAGAATTTCCACTTCACTGAAAAGGGCTTTTCTTATAATTGCGATATGCAGTAGGTCTGGGGGTATGGTGTTCTCCTTGGTAATTGTTTAATTGGGTTATTATTTTCTGTTTGATTATCTGTGTCTAACAGACAGTAGGGCAGGGGTGAAGAATGATGGCCCTTTTATGACCTGTGGACTTCAACTCCCAGAATTCCTGAGCCAGCCAGTTGAAGTCCAGAAGTCATAAAGGGTCTATCGTTCCCCACCTCTTCAGTAGAGGATGAAAGTGGTGAAAGGTGACAGCCCATTCAGGTTAACATTCCTTTCAGGATACCAGAGATCCCATTCATAATAAACAAAAGATCCCAAAGGTGCTTTTTCAAAAGGTTACTGGACATCAAACAAAAGATTCTTTCCTCTGTGTAACTGCAATGGGAATTAAGCTGGAAACCAGTTTATATAGTAAATAAGTGGAAAGAAATGACCAGCTCAGCAGGGTGCCTAACTGCTGAGTGCCCCCTTTTGATTAATTGCAGATACAATAGGTACCATTTTGATGGGTAGGTAAGCTGGTGCTCCGTGCTGGCACTCAGATTTCTGCCCTCTGAACCTTCTCGGTTTTGGTGCCCATTTGCAAGAAAGCTATGGGGAGAGAAGGGCCTTGGAAGCTACTGCAGGAAGAGCCACTTGTCTTTTTTCCTGATGCGATGTCAACTTGTCCTCTTGTGATGCATTATGGGAAGCACATAAGCATGTATCTGTCAGAGCTGGTAAACAGGCAGCCAAACTTCTACTTTGCAATTTCTTTGTAGTCTTCTGGCTAATGTAACAACACTATATGAGTATCATCATCATCATCATCATAAATCATCATCATCTCAGAATTGTTTCAGACAAATAATCAAGTTTGTGTACTTAATTAACATTTCATCTCATCATACTGGAAGGCATGTCTGGACCAGACATTTTAGGGGCATGTTTAATCTAGTTTTTCTCTTGGTCTTCAACCATTTCTTGAAAGTGAAGTACTTATATACTCCTCTGTCTTGAACCATTACCAGCTAACACATTCAACCGCAAATATAACACATTCCCTAATTATTATATTACCACCCAGAGAATCTTGAATCTCGCTTGAATTTAGGAAGAACTTCTAACAAAATCCTCATCCACATCAAGGCAGAATGATGAAGACTTATAATGTTCCAACTTGCTAGATAAAAACTGATAAAAACAACAAAGCCAAAATGCAAAAAAAATGGCTACAGGAACAAACAATGGCTTTTCTCTTCCATGTGAAAAGGTTTGTAGCAGCTCCCAAATCTAAGCTATTCCTCTACCACATCAACTAAACAACTTCCCATGCTATTCAGTACCAACACTCAGTGACTAGAAACTCTGAAACACTGGGTCAGACATTACCAAATAATCATTGCTATCTCTGCCAAGGTGGAGATCCTGAAGGCAAGAAAAGGTGTCTGATGGACATTCTGTCACTACTCACATCTAGCCACACAGGTTGGTACCAAATCATCCAGAGTCTGCTCTGTGCTGCTCTGTCTTTAATAGTTCAGTGGTTATGCCCACAACCCAACACCAAGTGCTTCCAATATTTTCATAGATTTAAAGTTCAAAAGAAGACCAAGACTATCATTTAAGATGTGGACATTAAATGAGAAGAAAGAATGCCCTATTCATAAGGAGACACCAATAAAAACACACATCCTCATTAACAACAGATGTTCAACTCATCTAAAAACTAGATTATTAAAATTTCCCAGTGACAGTTTATCTGCACTGATTTCAGACAACTTATATAAGTTCGCCATGTGCTTTTAATGCAATTGTTTCAAAGAAGATGACTTCTGAAGATGACTTCCTCAATCTCACTATAGGTAGTTCTTGCTTAACAACAGTAATTGAGCCAATTGTCTCTAAGTGATATGATCATCAAGTATGATGTCCTGTGATTACATTGCTTAGTGATGGCAATCTTAGCAGTACTCATTACTGTTATTAAGTGAGAATTGTGAGTCATTAAGGAAAGAACTCAAATGACAGCAACTTGCAACTTCCTGCACCCTTCCCTCAAACAAAGTCAATGGAGAAGCTGGCAGGAACTCAAAAGTCATGGGTGGCTTGTAAACAGGCAGGTGAGTGGGTGAATGCTATGGAGTAAGGTGGGGTGGGGATACTGTTCCAGTTGGGGAAAAAGTGAAGTGAAGCATGAGTGCATGCAGGCTGAGGACAGGTTGCTATGGCACAACACAAGTGCATGTGAGATGGGGAAGGAGTGCTGCTTTGAGCCACAAGTGCAACTGGGCAAGTAATAGGATGCTGCATCCCAAGTGCACACTATGAAGAACAAGGTCTGTGAATCTTGTACTCCATAGTGAAGCTGCTTGGGGAGAAATGCTGTGAGACTAACTTGCAACCTTCTCTACCATCTGCCCTATTGACTTTGCTTATGGAAAGCCAACAGGGAAGCTTGCTAATGGTTATCATGGGACTGCAGGATGTTGCAACCATTGTAAAGGAGAACTACGTGCCTAGCAACCAGATTGCAATCATGTCATTGTGGGCTTGCTGGAATGCCCACTACCGGGCCATTGCCTGTTCAAAACTAGGCTGCAGGAGAGATAGGCAAGTGCAAGCACTTGAAGCTCCACTCCCACAAGTGGAGGATGCTTGTGCTTATGTGAATGGAACTTCACATGTGAGCACAAGCACCGTCTGCTCAAGAGCCCTTTGCTTGTACAAGTGGAGCTTTGTGCGCAAGCACAAGCATTCTCCACTCATGTGCTAACTCCATTTGTGTGAGTGGAGGGTCCTAACGTGTGCCACTTGCACAAATAGAGCTGTGCCTGCACATGTGCACCTGCCACTCACATGCCCCTTCCTGTGCCAGGCCGGGCCATCAAGCTGGAAAGGTTGGGGACTGTTGACTTTGAGAACCTGTCATAAGTACCACTTGTTCAACACCATTCCAAATTTGAACAGTTGCTGTACATATGATTGCTAACAGAGGACTACTTGTAGTTATACATTATAATTCAGAACCCACATGGACAGACAAAGATTGTTTTGAATATCTAAAAAGAAGAATACCACCAAGGCATATTATGTTATAATGAAAGTAAGCAATAAAATTTAGCTATACAAAAATATTCTCTAAAATCGGGAACCCTCATTCTTTTTTTCTTATTAGATGTTCCTTGGTGTTCAACTCAGATCTCAGAATAATGATGTAGCATTTGGGGAGAAAGATGCAGACTAGTAAGCCCAGGCTGGAGGCCAGGATGGAGAAGATCTGGACGGCCACCATGTATTTCCCTTTGGTGCTCAGGTAGGTGGGGACAAAGGAGATCCAAACACAGCAGAAGACCAGCATGCTGAAGGTGATCCACTTGGCTTCATTGAAAGTCCCTGGAAGCTTTCGGGCCAAGAAAGCCACCAAGAAGCAGATAGCAGCCAAAAAGCCCATGTAGCCAAGGACAGAATAGAACATGATGACTGAGCCTTCATTGCATTGCAGCAAGATGTGTCTTGGTTGGGAATGAAAGTCAGAATCTGGGAAGGGGGGAGAGAATCCTAGCCATACCATGCAGATTCCCACTTGACACCCAGAACAGGACAAGACAATGGAGTTGGCCAGAGTTTTCCCCAGCCATTTTCTCATCCTGCTTCCTGGTTTTGTGGCCAAAAATGCAACTACCACCATGATAGTCTTTGCGAGCAAGGAAGACACGGCAACTGAGAAAACAAAACTGAAGGTGACTTGCCGAAGAAGACAAGTCACTTTCTTAGGATGACCAATAAACAGAAGGGAGGTCAAGAAAGAAAGCAAGAGGAAGATCAGAAGAGTGTAGGTGAGGTCCCGATTGTTAGCTTTGACTATGGGAGTTTTTTGGTATTTAATGAAGATTCCCAGAATGAAGGCAGTGGTTAGGGACAAAGCAATGGCAAAGAAAGCCAAAATGAATCCCAACAATTCTTCATAGGATAAGAAGCTTATACTTTTGGAGACACACTGATCTCGCTTCTTATTGGAATACTGGTCATCTGGACACTTTTCACAATGGGCTGCATCTGAAAAAAAAATATCACCTGTCTAGTTCTGCAGCAGTAGAATCATGAAAATTTTGTAGGTCCCAACATTAATTAGAAATAATCATCGCTTGTTTTAAAGACTGAGGGACCAATAAGATTATCAACTCTTGCAAAATGTGTCTTCTTTCCTGAAACCAGGTAAGAAGGCAACAACTTGAGAAATTTCATCTCCTTTTCATTATGTATTTTAAAAGCCACATCATTACACAAAATTGGGCCACATCATTACACAAAATTGGATGATTGGTACCCAATCCTTGAAAAGTCTGTGGATTCTGTCGAGAAATTTAATTTTTATTGCTTTGTAGAATTATGAAACTACTATGTTCCTAATTAGATCTACAGCTGGTAGGAAAGTAAACAACTTTAATAATTATTGCCCAGAAAAACAAGAGTGAATATTGATTGCATCCTCAATTTCACTTTTTTCTCAGAGCTACCTGCCTTCTTGCATTGAAAATGTTCCTTCCATACACAGAGAACAGTCATAGCAGCAAATTGGTGCTCCCTTTCTCATGAGCTTGGCATATCCTGGATAACAACTTTCTGAACATCTAGAAGAAGGCACCATCTAAACATAAAAATAAAGATCAGTTAGGGCAACCTATGAATTGGGGTTGAGTGGGTTTTATTTCAAGGAATAGGTTTCTGGTAGCCAGGTAGTACAGTGAGCCAGCTCAGCCAAGGAGTAGTGGCACAGCAGTTACTGATGGGGACCATCATTCCTTTCCATTCTAGGCATTGGAGATATCATTTATGAGGAATAAAATTCAACTCCAAAATTGTTGGAAAGCAAAACAAAGTTTTATTAAAAGTGTTTGCAAAGGCTGGTGTACCTGTATGCCCAAGAGGCCACACTTGAATCATTTCAGCATAAACTATTATACCCTGTCCCGTAGAATTACACCACATCCTTCCTTTCCAGACCTAGTTGATAGGTCTGGTTAGTCATATGCTTTTCGACCACCTAGTAATCAGACCGTCCAATTATATGATCAAAAACCCCTTTGCTCATGTCTTATCTCCCCTTCCTTGTCTGTGGCATGACTCATGACATCCTGCTAACTCAGGATATAGCTTATCTATAAAAATGAGCCTGTTTGCCTAAACTAGATAATTTCAGCAATTACAAATTATTTATGTTTCCTGTAAGAGTGCATGTTTTTCATCCAGAAGCTATGTATGTAACAGAGTTCATGTTTCAGTTAAACATGGTTGTTCTTTGGTTAATATAATACTTTAAAATACTAACTTTAGGTAGTTTGAATAAAGAATAAACCTTATATAAATTGGGTAATATGTCATTCATAAACTATATGCTATTCTACAGTTGTGTGCATTATTCTAAAAGTATGCTTTGAGTCAGTGTATATAGTCCCTTTCTGTTCCTCCAGCTTACTACATCTTCTTTTCTAAAAGTACCTTAGCTAAGTGCCTCTACATGCCTATTCCTTAAGCAGAAATGGAAAATTACAACATGTACATTTATTGCATATCTCACACCATTTAACATGGACCTTTATGGAAAAGGACATTGTGTGCCAGTAGCAAATAAAGATGATTCTCTTTCTGGTTCAATTTATGTTTCAATCCAGAAACATTCCCTTTGTCTTATTCTCCATTCATAGTTCCATTGCAAAAGGTGTTTCTCCTTAAGGCATATAAGGCTCAACCCTTCCAAGACCGAGTGGCTGTGGCTGCCGGCGCCGCGGCATAGTCAGCTGACTCCATCGCTGACTATAGGGGGCGAAATTCTGGCCCCCTCGGAGAGGGTGCGCAATCTGGGGGTCCTCCTGGATTCGCGGCTGACGCTGGAAGATCAGTTGTCGGCCGTGACCAGGGGGGCGTTTTATCAGGTACGCC